GCGGTTTAATCTGCACTGAGAGGGTCACTAGAGACAGCAACCATTTACAATAAGAAAGCGACCTTGGCTACACATTAAAAAACCCGAAACATTGAGATGGGTGGCTCTCCTCCTCTCTCTCATTCACTCACACTTGCTCACACGCGTACACATACATACATACATACAGACAGACAGACAGACACATTGTTGCCTACTTAGGAGAGTTTGTTATTTATTGTAAAAACTGTGTTTAAAACATGTGAAATCGGCAAGATTTTTAATTTCCAACTAACTTTACTGCTAACAAGGTTGACATGTACCTAATAACTTAACACGGAATCAATACATAATTTCTTCTTGTATTTATTTAACTTCTTTCAGTGAAAATAATAATTTCGTTATGACCCATGCGATACAAGAGTGATTCTTAAATCAGAAATTTCTTAAATCGAGCTTTTACTTTATATTTAAGCTATTTTGCAATTGCATACTAATATAATACATAAAAATATCTACATTTTCTTGTTTATGTCCAAACTTAGTGGACATTAAACTAAACAAAAATTAAATAAGTATGATAGCTTGTCCCCTGAATTATACCAATGTTATAAATGAAAATAAATCTAATTAAAACTAATTTTCTAAACTAATTTTTAATTTACGCATATATTTAAACATATTTAAAGTTTATTCATCAACAGCGTCAATCATATTTTAACAATTCCTTTAATAAAGTATTTCTATTTAAAACTTACGTCGAAGGATATATCAACCGTTGTGGGTTATTTAATGTCGGATATAAGACTTAAATGACAAAAACTCTAATGAATTTATAGAAAGGTAGACATATGTTCTGTTTGCACTAGTCAATTTGCTTCAATTTGCACTATTCAAAAACGTAGACACTAGTCCATTTTGCACTACTCTAAAAGGTAGACAGCGGTCCAGTTTGCGCTAAAGTCTGAAAAGTAAACTCAAGTCCAGTTTTCACTAGATTCAGAAAGGTAGACACATGTCCAGTTAAAATAGAGGAAAAAAGTTGGACAGAGAACCAGTTGGCTTTCGAGTTTAAAAGATAGAAACAGGGACAGTTTGCATTAGTGTCTAAAAGGTAGACACTTGTCCCGTTCGTATAAGAATCTAAACGGTAAATATTGGTCAAAACAGGTAGTTTCTACTATGTTTCACACAGAAGAGACCACTTTTTTTTTTCTTTTTTTTTTTTTTTAATATTTATTAAGTTTAATTTCGCTGGCGCACGACCATATATAGGAATAGGAAGATTGTTTTGCGCCAGACTTCCAAATCGGCTTTCATGTGTATTCAAACAATGATGTTGATCTCGTTCTACTTATGCTCTAGTTTAGTCTTTTGTCATTCATTTCGTTTATCTTTGGCACAAAGCCATAGTAGACAAGTGCGTATCAAAGTAGCTAAACGAACGAATTGGTCTGCAAGTCGGACTTGCTAACAATTACACTTGCTGTTCTGGTGTTATATTAAAGTTAGCATAGTCTGTCGCAAGGCAGCGCGTAGTGAGATGTTTAGTGTGCTTTGAAGTTAAAAGCGAAATGCTCTCGGAGATAAATTTGCTAACCACCACTCTATGGCAAGCGCCCCAACGTTAGGTTAATTACTTGATAGTCATTAATTTAATTATGTTAAGAAGTTAATTATGTTAATTGCATCAAGCATCTAATGAAGTTAGCTAGAGTAACTACTTTTAAAATCCCGTGTTCGCATTTATTTATTTTTTGTTGTTGTTGTATCGAACATCTGCAAATTTATAGCGTTCCAGTCGATTCAGCTGAGGTTTCTTTTTTTATTTGAAAATGTATAGCAACACGAAGGAACATTTGCTCACAGGCCATATTCTTTTAAACAGTTAGTTCGAGACTTACCAGAGGCGGTACACACAAAATAAACCAAGGAGTGAAATCAGATGATAAAATTTTAGTTAGGTGGGGATGCTCAGTCAGATGCAGTTTTAAAGAGTGTGATTTTTTTTTATCTGACACTTTTATAAGTTGAATGAATATATATATATATATATATATATATATATATATATATATATATATATATATATATATATATATATATATATACCTAATGTTTCGGGGAAAAAAATTAAGGTTAATTTTATTATGATTTTTTTATTTTTTCTTATTTTATTGTTAATTTTAATATTTTATTATTGATTATTATTTTCTCATATATTTTATATTTTTATTATCCTTTTATAATTTGGTATTATTTTGTTATTTGTTCTTATATTATCTGCTCTGTTATTAATGAGTTAATTAATCTATTATTATTATTTTTTTTTTTATTTATTTTATTGTTATATTATTTTTTATTTATTTTCTTATTTTTTCTTATTTTGTTCTTAATTTGTTATATTATATTTTATTATTTTGAAAAATTAATTTTATTATTAATTATTAATTTTAGATAATTGATACAGCTCGGTTCAGTAGCATACTCAAACATTGAGGCTAAAAGTACATATGCTGTTTTTTTTTCTTTTTCTTTCCAATAAAAAATGAGGAGAGGACTCCCTCCCTTAGCGCCATGAATGCCATGTAGGCCTCTCCTTGTGCATGTTCCATTTGCACCTGACTAAAACTAACGTTTTGTTTTTTATTAAACGGAGAAATTGTAATGCCTGGTTCAGTCAGTTATGTGTCACACGTAATATACGCTTGGGCGATCATGTATCATGTCTGACGAGGCAGAAGATTTTTCACGCAGTAGGTTGTCATTTCTTTCTGCGGTAGACAGGTTGCCTACAAAGTCTAAAGAACCCAGTCTGTCCTATTTAACCCATAGCTGGGATGTCTGGTTACTCTGCCCCAAAAAAGAATCTGTTAGAGTCTGTCTATATTTCTGAGATGAGGTAGTATGTACATTATTTACATTATTCGGACTATAGTCCTCATCTTTGTCGCCATATTTATCACAACGTTTCAGCCATTGTACGCTCCGGCCTTCTTCAGGTGGTTGGAATGTCGAACTTTCGCTCACCGGGGTAGACTGTTCTAGTTCCACGTGCCATGTTTGTTGGATGTCAGTTATCAGTTATCTCCTGTTAATTTCCCTCTGAAAGTTCTCCACTGCCTTAACCGGGTATTGAACTCACACTCTTTGGGTCCTGTCACTGGATCTAACTAACGCCTTTATCCACTGTGCCACAATGGATAAAGGCGGTGCCGGTTAAGGCAGTGGAGAACTTTCAGAGGGAAATTAACAGGCGATAACTGATAACTGACATCCATCAAACATGGCACGTGGAACTAGAACAGTCTACTCCGGTGAGCGAAATAAAGGGTTCAGTTCGACATTTCAACCACCTGAAAAAGGCCGGGGCGTACAACGGCCGAAACGTTGTGATAAATATGGCGACAAAAATGAGGACAATAGTCCGAATAATGTAAATAATGAAGAATCTGTTATTTATATTGCTATCTTATAATATTATAAGTTTCTACATAGGCAGTTTTACATGAGGGGTTATTGTTCTTATTTCTTGAGGCTTAATTGGTTTGTAAGTATCGAGTGTGATACTGAAATTCTTTGTTTGCCATCTTAAGATTTGAATTAAACATCATGTTATTAAAATATTTGCACTGACCGAGAATTAGAAACATTTATTGTTTTAATTAATCTGCACAGCGAGGAAAGTAGGCATTGCGACAATCAGCTGATTCGCACCGGATTTATTTCAAAGCAGACGATAACATTTTTTTTATTGTTTATTATTTTATTTTATTTTATTTTTTGATACGACTTTAAATACACGAAATACCAAAATACGGAAAACATCACAAAAAATAAAAAAAAATAAAAATAAAAATAAAAAAGTAAAATAAAAAAAAAGTAAAAAAAGAAAAGATTTCTAGGGCATTAATTAGAGGGAAAACAATCAGCTAATTATTGTTGAGCGAAGAGCTTTTCATTGGACAAAAAAGCTATTTTGTCATTAGGCAAAATTTAGAAACGATACAGCATTAAGGACGTGAAAAGAAATAGTTTAAAATCATGAGATCTAATTGTTGTCGGAATTTCTGAGATAAAGGGTTTTCATTATTCAATATTTTAGGGCGTTGGGAAAATATTTCATCGCTATGAATTATAAGCCAACCAACCAAGACAGAAACAAGAAACATGACATTTAAAAATAGTTTGGCATAAAACTGAATGTAGATAATATTTTTTTTACTAATTTTCGCCCAATACAAGGACCAAGAGCCACTCAAGTTAGAGGGTAACTGTGAGGTGTTGTATTAACGTAAGAAAAGACAAGAAGTGAAATTCTTGGGTCTATGCAGTAAAGTGTAGAAGTAGACTTTAGAAGGAATCGGGAACCCATTCCTAATCAGGAAACAAAAGATAAGCCTTCAACTCCTGTTCAAAAGATCGGGGAGGGGTGTGAACCGGACAATAGACAAAACTCCTACTGGCTGAGATAAAAAAAATTGTGAATAAAATTTCATAGCTCAGTCGGAGACGTTAGGCGTATAGGTTTGAAGTAGATGTCAGAAGGAACGGGAAACCCTTTCCTAAACTTGATAAACCTCTATTCCTGTTAAAAAATAAAATAAAATAAAACAAAAACTGGGGAGGTGTGTGAACCGGGCGATAGGCGAACTTATTTACTCCTATTGGGGAAGGAGAGAAAAAGAAAAGAAAAGAAAAGAAATCGCACACAAATCTGTAACAACAGGTGGTGAATACGCAAGTATCTCAGGCAAGCCATGGAGGTATTAACAAAATTTAGCTTCATTTTTAAACACTGCCAAATAAGAAGAGATAAGTTAAAAAGATTGTGTTGCATCAGTTTCTCAAGTAGGGGAAGGACCTGCTTCAAATTCAGCATTAGAAGTTATGGCTTTTATCAGACTTCAGGTGCCGACGGGGAGGGGGCACCAGTCACGTGACTAGCACGTCTGCCTTTTCTTTTAAATAAATATCGGATATAGAATTATTAAAATTATGACAAGTGTCAGCCTGTATTCATCGAGTTCTTTCTAAATACTCCTTATCCGTGTTAATTAGTACTGAATACTATGTTCGACACATCCAGGCCTTTCAGTCAGATCTTGACGAACTGAATGACTATAGTCACAGACATTTCCCTAGCGAAACTGATAATAAGGGAAAAGGAGAATAGCAGACGACACCCCTTGTCGTCTGCTCGTTTGAACGATCCACAGTTTGGTTATCGAGCGATAATTACACTGTAGTAGTCTTGAAGGCTATGCTTACGGATTCTTGAAGTTATGTCGATTCAAATTTAGAGATTGCCGTAAAACACAACCGGCACATGCCGGGCAAGGGGTGAAGAAACATACAATTTAGGAGGGCAAGAAGAGAAAAGAAATTTATTTGGATTAATGTCGAGAGTAAGCACAAACATTTTTCTGAATGACGTTATACACCATCGGTACCTTAACTAGCACTACTCATAAATAACAAGTTCATAAAAGGGTTTCCATTTCCATGGGTAGGGGTGCTGAAAAAAAAAGCGGTTGTTTTTGAAAAATTCGGACCTTTGATTATTTAGGAATTTTCAACACCACACACGTCAATAGTTAAATCGAAAATAGAATCTGGACTGAAGCTGTGCACTGTATATTTTCCAGCCTTGATAGGGTTCAGAAGCATCTTCGCGGCCTTGTTTTTCTTATCACGCAAACGAAACATCGCGAGACTGTCGCTACTCCATTGCTATTTCCACGGCAAATGTTCAACCGAGCTCCATTCCTTAGTTTCACCAGCCCTGACATCCACAGCTAAGACCCGTTCTGCAATGGACACTGGAATAAATCATCCTCCTCATCATTCTCTTCGTATTCCGTTAGTAAGAAGAAAGTTCCATTCGCACAGCTTCTTCCAAGAACCATTGCTTTTTGGAACAGACTCCTGTGTGGATACTTCCTCGATCACTACAATCCCTTTAAGTCTAGGATTAAGCATTATCTTTTCTACAAATCCTCAAAACTGCACTTCTTACTTCCTCTTCTTACGTTCATCAATCTCAGTAAGTAACCCTCTACCTCGAGTGGCTCATAGGCCTTGTAATTGATGAACAATTAGTTAAAAGAATTCTGTTAGTTCCATTCTATTCCTATCTATTTCGTTGCAGTGAGTTCGATCCACAATAGATGCTCCGCATATGCTGCCTTTTGCCAGACTAGGTTAAATTTATGAAATCATACGTGTGTTCGTGTCCACATGCGTGTATATAAATTGAAGCGCCATTAAACTAGATAATTCTTTGTGCCGTGCCTCTTCAGAACGTGGGTGATCATGGCTCTCCACAACTTCCTATCCTTCGTAACTCTTAGCAATGTGTATTATCCCTTCCTCTCCCCCTTCTGCTATCCACGTCCCAAACGGACACGACGCAAGAACGTCTAATGCTAAAGAAGCAACTCTCGTGCCTCTTTATTCTGTTAAACTTAATAAATATTTAAAGTGGTTTGATGTTGTGCAATGGTTAACGAGATAGTATAGTAGGCCCTCCCTATTGTAGTGACTTTGTTACTCTCTAGATTCTGTGGCCTTGTGATAAATTTCTTTTTATTCACGTCCTTTAGGATGTGTACCATCATGGCTCTCAGCAAGTTCCTATCCCTTGTATCTCTTGTTAAGTTTTATCTCCCACTCCATGTTCCACCATCCATTTTCACAAGCTTGTTAGGTCGGTTATTCGTTGTTTACCTCTGTCTCCATTGCTTCCCGTATGTCCTGTGGGTATCAAAATCTTCATTCTCTTCCATCTTTATGCGTCCTAGAAATGACAACCTAGAATATGGTAGGCAAAGATAACCTTAATTATAGTGTGTTTGGTTTTTTAGCAGTGGTTTGAAAGCATGTCTAGTGAGTTTATTCCCCTCTCCTTGTGCTAGACCCGTGTTCCTCAACATTTTTAAGCACCGGCGCACCTAGGTGCAAATCAAAATATCTCGGCATACTTAGTTAAATTTTAAAGGGTATGCTTTTCAGTGTTATGAAATAAAACCATAGATTTTTTAAAAAATACACAAATATGAACTTAATTTATTTCAATGTTTCTATTTAACAATTGAAGTTTATTTACTGTGCAACCTGTGCCTGTTGTTTTTTCGCGATTTCTTCAATGTTTCGTCGAATTTGAGATAATCAGACTCATTTCTTCTTCAGTTGAGGGTGTTCTTTTTCGCTTCTTATTTTTCAACAAATTTTTGGCAATATTTTGCAGTACACTTAACTAGTACACCGCAGCACGCGGCTGAGAATCACTGCACTCGACTAAGCTGAGTTGCCAGTGGTAACATTAACTGCTTACTTATATGGAAACACTTAGCAGCTTGTGATACTGTCATCTGAAATTCAAAGAATTTCTATTGAAACAGTCTTTCAGGAAAAGAGGTTTCTCAAGTTCACTGTTATTTGCTCTTTCCAGTATAAATAGGACTTCCTTCGTAAGGCCTTTGTTCTATGTAGTGTGGAATATGATTATGCCATTATTTTCTCATTGAGTTACATGTGCTATACATTTTAGTTGTAACTGCTGTTGAAGGTCCTCAAGTGATGTGTTTTCTGTGGTTTGACACAGATCTTCGTGATTCTGTTCAGACGTACAGACTTCGAGCGAATGAATTCATTTTTAGTCATCGACCTGAGAAAGCGGATGAACACAGTGGAAAGTTTATATATTTCTGACTGAGTTTGGTGTCGTGCATGACATCCGTATGAAAGTCTCGATCTGAATCGAATTCTTAGGTTAGTGTTTTCGTTTTGTAGCAACTAAACTTCTCTCTATTAATCATCTGAGAGACCCCTCTCTGCCTTCCATCAGCATGGCTGATACTAACCTGCAAGAAAGTCACTTCATTCTCGGGCTAACGTTCTCAGTTGACATGGGGTGGAAAGACTTTATTGTATCTATTGCTAGGTCAGTTGCTAAGAAAGTTGGTTCACTGTGTCGTGCGAGACAATTTTTCTTACATATCTATAAGTCTACCTTTCGTCCATGCTTAAAATATTGCTGCCACATATGGTCCGGTGCCTTTACTATTTACCTAGCGTTGGCGGGCACAATCTCAACAGCATAAGATACGCAGATGACACAGTACTGATAGCAGACAGGGAAAAGAGACTACAGAAGATAGCGATGGTGAGTGAGAAGCATAAACTACAAGAAGACAGAGTGCAAAGTCATCAGTAAGAGGATGAGCCCAAAATGCGATTTGCAGGTCGAGAATACTAGAATCAAGCAGACGCGGAAGTTTAAATATCCGGGAAGCGTCTTGACAGAGGACGGTAAAAGCAACACCGAGATCCGTAGATGTATTGGGATGGCCAAGGACGCATTCCAAAAGCTGGACAGAGTATTGCGAGACTTTATTTGGTAACAAAGAAAAGAATACTGAGCTGTTATGTGACATCTGTCCTTCTTTACGGCAGTGAATCCTGGACGATTTCCTCAAGGATGAAGAAGAGACTCGAGGCGACGAAGATGTGGTTCTGTAGAAGGGCGCTGAGGATATCGTGGACCGAGCGTGTGAGCAACGATGAGGTCTTGGAGTAATGGTGACAAGGTTGAAGCTCATACGAAAGAGGAAGCTGAAGTTTCTGGGACACATAATACAGGTCGAATAGAGGGAAAGAGAGACAAGGAAAAGCAGCGTGTAACATTCCTGGTGGGCTTGAGCAGGTGGATAACAGGACGTGGTCTGGGGGAGATAGCAGATGGAGTGAACTTGTTAACAGCTGCAAGCGATAGAGGGAGTTGGAGAGCCATGATCGCCTACGTCCTGAAAGGACATGGCACATAAAAAGAAAAGAAAGAGATTCTTGATAAAATCCAAAGAAGAATCAGCAATATTATTGGTCCTGATCTGGCGGCTCGGCTTCACTCACTTTACTACCACCGTAAGGTTACTTGTGTCTTTTCTATAAATACTTTCATGGTAATTGTTCAGAAGAGCTCTGCGCTGTTGTCATTAGAGTTTTTGAATTTAAGTGCAGTACTAGACTGGTTCGAGATCTCATCAATTTGTCGCTTGGGAAACTCCTTTCCCTCTCTATGTTTGCCAGCCAACTTTAATCTGCAAAAGATTTAATTGCAATGTCAATTGTTATACACTCTCCTCCTGATTACTCTTTTCTCTTCCCGATCATTATTAATATTTCTGTTCCTAATTCTTCCACACCCTGTAACCCCTTATATTTTAGTGGCGTTGCTGCCTTGCATGAGGTTATACTGACTAAAAAAGTAAAATAAAATCTTACGATGTTACACAAAATTCTCCTAAGTGCAGCCTGTTCTATGTTTAATTCCTTTAACTCTTAGGCTAAATTTGTTATAGCTGATCCATACACCGAGGTATTTAAAAGTGTTTAGTATTTATCCATTCCACTTTCTTAATTTTTATGATTGACCCAGGGGATCTTATCAATATCTGAATCAGATTCAGTTTTTATTTGTTGACTAATTTGTTATTTTTACGGTTTATCACCCTTTCGTTGGTTATTTAAATTTGAGACATATTTTGGATTGTAAGAATAATTGTTATTTTGCGAATAAATATTGCATTAATATTTTTTTTTAGAATCACATTAACTTCTGCAGATAAACCTTCTACTATTTGATCCATAGCTGGGAGAGATCGATTCATATTTTTTCCGCGTAAGTTAATAAATTGCAAAGAAACATAACCTGAGATTGAACCCATGATATTTCCGATGATCTTGACGGAATAAACTTATTTTTTTGAAAACTGAATAACAACGCAACCAAATGAAAAATGCTGAGGTAAGAAAAGTGCATTTCACCAATTTCTTATGTGTAGAGAGTCTGACTTTAAATCAGAATTCTAAATGTTTCTTTATTTAGATCAACGACAATATATTCAACTACTTTAGCCATGAGGCAGGCTAATATTGATAGATAATAGTTACATATAATTATAAGTAATAATAATCACTAATAAAATTTACGAACATATTATAGGAGAGAATAAACCAAATAGGTTTTAAAAATATTGTCTTGTCGAGCATTTTATTCCGGAGAGTTTTCCTTGAAAATTAATATTCGATATTTTAATCCTTTCCTGGACTCGAACACCGATAACTGGCACCAATGGGAAATACTCCATTCTCTTTGTAAAAAGGGATGTTCGAAGACATTTTGATGTTTTCTTTTGCCCATTGATAAAGTTCTGACTAGAAAGTAATTTGGTTTATGCCTTTTTGTATGAGATCTTGTAACAATCTCGGAAGAGTACTGATTGGCTTCATGAAAACCTCCAGACAAAGAAAAAAAAAACGACCTTTACAAATTACTAATGAATGGACTTAAGAAATAAAAGAAAAAAAACATTCAATAAGCATCTAAGAGCAAGGAACTAGTATTTTGGGGACCCGACT